AAAGAAGATCCTACATCGATCAACGAGATTAAACGAAACCGCTTGCCAGTACACCAAATTTTCAAACGTATATTTGTGTACATAAGCTATGTGTGAGACGCTCGTCTGACAAATATAAGCCGCAATCACCACCATAGCAAGTAGAAATAAGTGAGTACTTGGCGGCATGTTGCGGTAATTTTTAGGATTTGTACTTTGGATCACGTACGCAACGGCGAATCAGACTGCCGAGCTTCGACCGGGGGTTGTTGGCACTGCGACGTGCCGGCTCCACCCCGATAACGGAAACGTACCGCGGACACGCAAAAAAAAATTGACTAATACTCGCGCCGCAGAGCAAAATTTTGATACCGATAAACCTACGAGCGTCGCGTCGATCCTGTAGCCAGGAAGACGTATAAACTGAATCTCCTTACCCTTGACCGCGTGTCAAATAAAGGAGACAGCCGCGTCACGCATCTTGACACCGTAACCCAAATCCTGGAGTTTGTCGATAGAACAAAAGCCGGCGCGCGTTGTGTTACAACGCGGCGGGGAAAGGGAGTAGTTGCACCGCATCTATATACCTATATTTCTCTAATTACTTTACCGATAATCGAGTGACTCGCGCACGCAACGGTGATCACACTCGACAAAGAGTCGCACAAGACTTTCCCACTTCTGCGTTACGAGCGATCGTGGAAAGGTCGCGACACGCAAGAAACTCTCCCATCGACATGAAAGGACTAAAAAGAAGCTTATACAGAGAGATGAAGTATCACAGATACGTCCCCCCGTATATAGTTTTGTATAATTTTCTCATATATACTTCCAGCGTGCCCTGAAATTGGGTTTCAGCCTATTGCTGTCCTACATTTTGATTTCAACATCAATAAAATAAAATAAAAATATATAGTAATAATATAATTCGTTTATTAAACTTTTCTTAGATTGCAAGTTTTCTTATTAATCTAATTTCTGAGCAAAGAGAGATTCCTAGTTTTAATTTAAATTTTCAAAGGAACGGCGTGTTATAAAATGTAACACATTTTTCATATCTTTTACATTTATATATTCTAACGTATTAATAATATAACATCTGCGATGATGCCATTTTAATATAATCTATAAAACGATCTGCCGCGGTATCATGGAAGCATTCAGTATGAAAGAAAATATCATGCAGTATCTTAGTACAAATGTCGTACAAATATCGCGTAAATCATCTCTCGCGAGCGTTTATAAAATAAAATAAAACAAAAACCAACGAAACGTTAATGCGCGATAATGCAGTGACCGTGTAATGGAACGAAGGGAGCGACTTCCGATTCCCCGAGATGTACATTCATTCTTTCCGGGGACCACGCATTTCTGAGATGATTTATCTTTCTTTCGGAAAAAGTTTCATTTACATATATACTTTTTCTAAAATCGGAACCGCGGCAAGTCGGCGCAACGACATAATTGCCGGCTTAACTTTCTCGCGTTGAGTCTCGACTGTCTCGTTATTCAACGGTATTTGCACTCCTTCACCCTCTCTCCCCGCCGCCGACAGATACGTGCTACCTATCTGTAGAAGACGCGTATATATTGCACCCTCCAAGAATTTACCGTGCCAATCCAGGCGCTTTCACACCCCGTCCACGAGCTACGGTCGCATACACCTATGCATACCCTATGCAGCTGCAGCAGCTCGTTACTACGCCACGTCAAGGCTCGTCGCCTTGCATTTTACATGCGTCCCTACACGTACTTGTCGTCTACATTACATGATCTCGCGCGCATCGGTATGGCACAGCACGCTTTCCTCATTACTCTTTCCCTTCGTTCTCACGTTCCCGTTTTTCGCTCGGTCGCGACGACCTATCAATAAAACCTGTTCACTGCGCAACGCCTGGTTGCCCCCTCCTCCCCCTCTCTCTCTCTCTCCTCTCCTCCTCTTCTCCGTTTACAGTTATTGTTAGCTACCGCAGGTAGAACACCGATCTCCGTGTTCGCGCAATTACGCACGCCGCCGCCGTCGCCGGTCCTGTCGTCGCCTCCTCGTGATAAGCGAATCACGGATCGGCCGTCTTATTTTTATCACCGATATGCGCGAGACTGATCGCAATCAGTTGTAACGTCGGATACGTCCACGTTACGTCCGACGTGATCGACGAATCGATCGCGCGATGCAACGGGGAACGCATCCGAGACGCGCAAAACCTTGTTGCGAAGGCACAAGGGCGAGAATATTTGCGGACGTCGAAGACACAATTATAAGCGATTTTTATTTCTGACCGCTCGATACAAAAGAGATGAGAGCCGACGCGGTAATCGGGAGCATGTGCGGGGCCGTGGATACATAAATGGAAGATGTAGGTGTAAAGCGGTCAAGGACTAATGAGCAGGTGAGCCGGGAAAATAGGTGAAACGAGCCGGAGCAGACCTATTGGTCAAGAAATACCTTTATCCAATCGATCGGTTGTCGTTTCGTCCGTCTGCCAATTGCGATAAAAACCAACTAAACGACATCTCACTTTCGCGCCGCTACCTACGCCGACTTTTGCGCCGAGCTCCCGATCATTAATATCTTTTATCCCTAATTCCGATAACTTTTAAACTTGGCCGAGGCTTGACCTTGACGCTTATCATCTGATCCAATAGGGGTTAAAATAGACCCCCCCCCCCGCCCTGTTATCGCAATTAAAGTTATTACTCTCTTTATAACGCATATCTTCGAATAGATATTAGTACATTCGATTAAATTACGAATAGATAACTTAATAAAGATATCTCTTGATTAGTTTTAACCTTCGTCCAATTAATTATCCGAGTCGTACTAAAGTTATGTTGAAAAAATCATCTCTTGCGTAAATCGAGAAATCGCAAAAGTATTTACGTACATCCGCTTAAGCGTTGAATGAAATGTCGATATACTCTCAATAGTTTTCATCCGATGCTATGCAGTTTCACGGTTATATTTGCGGCAGTCGGGAATAAAAATGGTCCACAATTACCGAAAGCGCGACGAACAATACCGGCCACATGCATCACGGTACGTGAATGTTATTACAGGCATTTGACCAGCTTGACAATATCCGGTGCAATAGAGAATCCTAAATACCCGTGTGAAAGCTCGCGCGTCCTGCTTGTGAAACAATACTTCATCGATAGTTTCCAGTTATCGCGCGAGCCACGCTTATACGACAGCAATAAAACAAAAATCCCAACGTACATTCGCGCTTTAAGATTCGAAAAAAAGTTTTTAGTACCGTTTATAATGATATTTCGAGCTCGTTATTTTAACAACGTAAGTGGAAAAAAACGATGTTAACTACTGCTACATCGCCATTCACGTATATATTTCGATAAATAATATAATTATTTGTTGTATATATTAATTGATCACTTCATTGATTTTCTATCATTTTCTCATAGATGCAAATTATTGAATGTTACTAAATGAATAAAATTATATAATCAATTATTGAACGTTACTGAATGAATAAAATTATATTATACTATTTTTTTACCTGTTTCACATCGTGAGATTATATTTTGTCAATTAACTCGTCGACAAGCCTTTTCATATTTTTCTTTTTTTTTTTTGTTTGCATACAACATATTTTGCATATTGTGCATATTTTGGAACGCGATATTATTTATATCACAATGACTACTTATACAGTTTTATTTCTTGAAGCTACTGTCGAAATTCTAAATAAACGTATCATATACGTAAAATCGTTTAATTTATCGTTTTTATTAAAATCTGTTCGATAAGAGGCTCGCAAAAATGTCCACGTGTCCACACGTGATTCAGGTAAAATTATCGAAAAAGTACACGTACGGGGGAGCATGGTCGCCTACCTCATAATCTCATGATCCTGTTCCTCCTCCTCCTTTTGGCGCATTAAAACACCCTCTATGATGCGCCTCTCCTCGGCGGTGAGGTGCGACATGTCAGGCTGAGGTAGCTCCGCCATCACGGTGGTGGTGGCGACGATGTACGCGCGTGCACGGGGTATGCGACGTGGGTATGACGCGGGTAGGCAGGCCGGCGCACCGCCGACGACGTCGACGTCGACGGGACGTTACCGTTGCTCCGATCGGGCTGCACCCAAGACGCGCCTCTTCCACGACAGCTCTCGTTGCGGGATATAACGGTCGGGACAATGTATAATAACCTTCTACGACTACGAAGCACGTCTGTCGTCCTGGGGAAGTCATCCGACACCCGTTGACCGCACCACCGCACCGCACCGACGCGGGAACGCGAGCGCACCGGGGTTACGTCGTCGTCGTTGTTGTCGTTGTTGTCGTGTCGACGGTCGCACCGTCGTCGTCGTCGTCGCCGTCGTCGTCGTCGTCGGCTCGGCACTCGCGATACGTTGCACTCGCAGGTCGTGCCACGCGGGACGCGGGACCTCCTCCGTGGTCGTGGTCGATGACTTCGGGGTGGCCTCCTTCGCACGGGATAACGATAAGGGAAGGCGGTAGACGTCCTTAGATTTTGCGCCGGTCGATGTCTGGCGTGATACGGACTCTTTTCCCTGCCGCAGCCTTTGCCGTTGCTGCTGCTGCTGCTGCTGTCGCTGTTGTTGCCGTTGCTGTTGCTGCTGATGCGTGGGAGGGCAATCGGGCAGTAGTCGGGCTGGTCTCATGCGAGCGCACAGCGTGCTCGTGGCATGGCCGCGGAGTCGGGGATCGTCGTCGTCGTCCTCCTCTTCGTCGTCGTCGTCGTCGTCGTCGTCGTCGTCGTCGTCGTCGTCGGTGTCTCTCGTCGTACGATTACCGCCCGTCGCATGTGTATGACAAATCATGTTCACAGGCTGTGAGGAGGCTCTCGCATTCTCTCTTGCAGCCCGGGCTCACGCGCTGCGCTGCCCGAATGCACCATCGGACGATACGCGATGGATCTCACCGGAGGTGATATCCTCGGATCCTCGATCTCGACGGGCTCTTCGCTCTTGTCCGTTGCACCGTTGCCCGCCACCCCACACCGAGGCGAACGCGGCTAATCGGTACGGAGCAGCGGCACTCTAATCGCGCGATCCTAACCAACGCGCGCGATTTCGCCCGCGGCGCGGTGCGCGACGACGTCGGTTGGACTCCGCTTGCTAGATAATGGCTGCGCCCTTCTGTCCCTCCGATCCTTCGAAACTCTTTGGAGCCGCATCGATTGAAAACGAAAACGGGTCACTGGGTTGCCGTCGCTGATAAATAGGACTCCACTTTCGCGGCACGGTCTTCGCGCGGTCGAACACCGAACGCCGCTGCTGTTACTAGCGTTACTGCTGCTGCCGCCGTAGCACCGTAGCCCCTTCACATCTGTCGGGATTACCGCTTCGTTATCCTCCGGACCCTGCGACGCGGACGAGGCGATGCGTCATCCCAACCGTCGGATCTGCGGGATATATTGCGTTTCGTTAACTGGATCCTGCCGTGCCCGGGAGGGACATGCTCGACGAGTGACGGAGCTCCATTCGACGACGGACGGACGGACACCGATCCCTCGATCTCTCGCCCTCGATCCCCCCGGACTGCCCCGGAGAGAACAAGTTCACTCGCGATTCACGTGGCAGCCGACACGACAATGGCGCTTCTCGGCGCGCCTATAACGGCCGCCGCGACGCCCACGCAGTCGATCGTCCCCGAGCGGACACGTACACACCCACGATAACCGTTTCCCCAGCTGATGACTACTGTCGTACTGTCGCGACGCGAGGGGCTGAAGACTGAAGGGGCTCGAGGGTTGTCCGTCGCGCCGAGGAGTTACGGCGCTGCTCTATCGTCGTCGGAGCCGCGGTGCCGTCGCTGACGTCGCGCTCGTCATCGTCCTCGTCACCGTCGCCGTCGCTGCCTCGTAGATGCGGCCGCTGCGTGGTCGTCGCGGAATTAAACTCACATCTCGTCCCTCTCTCTCTCTCTCGGCTCGAGATTCCACGCGTACACCCCCCCTCCGGGACACAGCACTCTCTTGATGCGCTCCGCGTCGAGCCGCGAGGAACTTTGCGAGCGGAACGGTCGGACACTTGTCACGCACGGTGTAAGCGAGGGAGAGCCAACGCCAGGTGCCTGCGCACTCGCGGCCGCGTCGCGTCGCGTCACCGCCGTTTCTCCGCGTTGCGTTGCGCTGCGCTGCGCTGCGTCGCGTCGCCGCCGCCGCCGCCGGCTCACCTCGCCGACGAGTTTCACTTCCGCGCGCGCGGCAGTGCCCTTTCGCGATTCGCCCCTCCTCGATGCGACGCCGGAATTCGGAATGCGACCCGCGAGGGCCGGCGAGTAGCGTTTATTCTCCTCTTCTACACCCTTTTCCGCTCTCCGCGCACCCACCCGCGACGACGGTGTCTCGCGGCCACGTCGACTCGCAGGGGTAGCGCTCGCGCTCGGTGCCGCTCGTGGTGAACTCTCCGTCTCTTTTCCACTCCCCTTTTCGCGCCTTTTCGCTCTCCCTCTCTCTTTCTCTCTCGCTCTTTTTCTCTCCGTCCTCCACTCTCCACCACGCACCACCTGACTGCTTCTCCCGTTCTCTCTCTCGCTCCCTCCTTCCTTCCCTTCTCCTCTCCCGTGTGTCTCGCACGCTATCTGCTCAGTGCTCACTTCCCGCGACCCGCGACCCGCGACCCTTCCCTCGCGACTACCGCGGAACGGGATGGGCGGGACGCGAACGGGGCTAATTTCCGGTCGCGAATCGACTTCCTGTCGGGACCGTCACGTCGACATCGAGGCGCGAGCTCCTCGCGTTCCTCGCGAGCGGCCCTTCGCTGGTTGCACGTATCGCTCGCCGAGGCCACCGAGGGAAGGCTGCCTTATCACACTCGTGTGTGCGACCGCAGTTGCGCGAACCGAGCTTTACACCTCCATCCCTCCTATTCCCCCTCGTCCGTAGCGATATATGGGGTGGCTCCGATATTACGCGCGCTTTCTTTGAGTATAGGTTCGTTAATAAGAGCTGCACCGAGAAATATGATAATTGTTTTGCTGTCAATTTTTTTCATCCTTAAAGATCCAAGAACTCTTGCGCTAAGTTTATTTTAGAGTATAAATTGCATACGTAAGAACGTATAGAAGAACTTTATTTTTTATTTTATTTTTTAAATAAGTTATATTTCTATAAAGCTTTAAAATGTTTTCAACGAAATATTTAATTTTGGAAATAAAGAACAATTGTTGAAGTAACCAACCTTCCAATATTCTCATTGAGTAAAGTTTCAGCTCAGATTCTCCAGAGAATAGGAAAGGGACATGGGGTTTCACGTATGTGACGAGACTGACGAGTGACGCCGAGTAATGCCGAAGAGAGGAGGAAAGTAGAAAGACACTTGGAAGCGCGGCGGTCGTTCGAACAGCGTTTCGCTCTGGTTTTCATGCAATCGTAATAAATCTCCGCCGCGTCGATCACGATCGCCCGGCCCGGGTGACAAATGGTGCCTGACGAAATATCGCACTTTCGCGCGAACTTAATAAATAATGGGATTGCGGCGTACGTTTTGACCAATGGGCAGGCGGGACGCGACTTACGTCGCGGAAAATACCGTATTGATCGCCGAGCGGACCAATCTAGCGCGAACTTTGATCGCGACCACGTGGCGCTGTGTTTGAAATAGACTCAAAGCTAAAAGCCCCAAAGTTATTTTAAAAAACAAAAAAGAATTGATAATTTCCAGCCTTCGATAACAGGGATTAGCTTCGAGAGATGTTCAAATTCCACTCCGCTGCGCTTCCGTGGAGTTTTTTTTCGGCGGCCACGAAAGCCAAACTTGCAACGTCGGGCACGTCGACCTCTTATTTTCCTCTGTAATCTCTGCGTCGCGTCGTTGCGTAATCTTGTCGTTATAGCGTAAAAATCTAAGGAGAATTAATGAAAGAACGTGCTTAACGCTACGTGTATATAATTTCCTACTTTTGTCGAAAAAAATGGAGCGCGAACAAAGACTGCGGCATACGCGACGGATGCTGAACTTACCGCGGCCGTTCGTATATAATTCTACGCGGGATCCTCGGTAAATCATCTATTCATCTTCTGGGAATCGCGTTCCGAAGTGCGACTTCTGATGCTGATGGAAGAAACTTCTGATGGTGCGTCATCGGGCAGAACCGGCCGGTCGACCGCCCCATTCCCTCAACATTGCCAAAGTTTCGTATATCACCACGTCACGTGGCTATATATGAGAGATCTACGTCGAAAACTTCTTTTTTTCCCCTCTTCGATGAAACGCTAGTACGAGCGAACTTCGAGCGAGCAGTCAAAATATCGCGAAAAAGCTACTAACAGTGCTTGTCTTTCTAAAATTAGAATTCGATCCAATTATGTCATAGTTAATAAACTCTTTCTTCAATTAGAACGATCTTAACGAGTATAACGTACATATCTGTATATTCAAAATACAAAGTCAAATAACTGAAAGAAGAGACTGATCCCTTCTTGGCGTCCCTTCGTGACCGATTGTACGCTTGCTTTACCTGCAATGCGTAATTAATGCGCGATTCGTTATATTTAAGAATTTATTGCATATGCATTGCAATGCATGAATTATAATTATATAACGTTATGTTAGAATCATTGTTGATCCTAGTATGCTGATATGATTTAATGCAGTTGTTCGATACAAGCCCACGGTACGCTACATTTAGCCATACGCAGCGCGGTACTAATACTAATACGTCTGACTATACATATACAACAACTACTGCCAGCGTTTACTACTGTACGTCAGACAATGTCTGCATAAGGTTAACACTTACTACTTTGCGGGATAAGAGTATGATATTCTTTTCTGTAAAAAAAGCGAAAATTGATTGTAAAATAATTTGTTATATGTAATGTTATATTCTTAAAAAAATAGAATAGCAAATGTGTTAAAAGCAATTGATAATTAAAGTAAAATAAATTGCACAAAGTGAGATGTATTTTTATTTTTTATTTTTATCATATTTTTTGTAGCTCTTTTATTTATATATTCAATCATTAATTTACCTGTCGAATAAATGACATGTTCCTTCATTTGTAAAATACTTAACCAGATACTCATATCACGCAAATAGATAATTTAAGACATACATCCAATAGAGATTTGTGACGCCATAATGTACAAAACAATAACACACAGCATGTACAGAACAATTTTTCACATTGTTTATTTGCTGTACAGAATTCGTTACATCACTTAAATACATTTTTACTAAATGTTCTATTCGTTGACGATATTATACACAATAATTAATAAATTTCTTAGAAATATTCGATATATACCAGATGTAGTTACAAATTTGTGCTTTTAGCAATATATCTAAAACTCTTATTTGATTACATTATAAACACATGTATTAAAAATTTGGCACATATCAATTACATATAAAATACATATAATAATAATAATATAATAGTGTAATTATATAATGACTATTACATAAAGATAGAATATAACATATTAAAGATGTAAATACAATACATAGAAACCTAAAAAAACCAAGTTTTAAGATTTGATTTTTCTTATAATTGATTCCTTTTATGGTACAAAAGTACTTGTCGCACCAACTTGAAGTTTGTTTGGACCTGAGATAGGATTTTGAAAATGTTGATGCGTTAAGAACAGGAAAGTTTTAATCTCAAAGATATTGCCTACTTACTATCTATATATTCTATTCAACATTCTTCATG